TTTCTTTTTGCTTATGTGGTGCTGAGGAATCGAACCCAGGGCCTCAGGCATGCAAGGCAAGCACTCTACCACTGAGCCACCTTCCCAGCCCCTAGGGAACAATTCTTAAGAATAAGTTATTGAGCCTCTCAATATCAGTTTCTCAATATTCTCCAACTAACATGTACCTTTGAAAGTCTCAGCTCAGCTGGGTACTGGTGGTTCATGCCTGTAATCCTAACTATTCAGGAGGCAAAAATCTAAGGATCACAGTTCAGAGCTAACCCAGACAGGAAAGTCCAATTAACCAACAAAAAGCTGGAAGCAGAGGTGCAGTTCAAGTAGTAGAGTGCCAGCCCTGAGCAAAAAGCTAAGGGACACTGCCCAGGCCAATTCTGACATTTATTCTTTCCCTCAATAATAAAGTAGCAAAGCATACTTTGGGGAAGAAAAAAAAATCATTTTTTTTTATATCAGGTAAGATGTCAAAAGAAGAAGAAGAGGAAAAGGAGGAAAAGGAGGAGGAGAAGGAGAAGAGGAACAGGAGGAAAAGGAGGAGGAGAAGGAGAAGGAGCAGCAGCAGCAGCAGCTTCTGCTACTGCTTCTGCTACATTTAGGAGATAAAAAATAAATAAATGCAAAGAACCATAGAAAAGGGGACATGTAAGTCATCTCTGTAGATATGATAAAAGAACAAGCACAGGACTAAAAGTCCAAGGGAAAGAATACAGCTCAGCAGCAATCTTTTAGAAGGTAAACTTACCGTCTTATTTCGTAATCGAATGATGTCAGATACAGAACCAGCCCCACAGTACTCCATAACGATCCACAAATCTGTGTTCTTAAAATAACTGCCATAATATTTGACTACATGAGGGCTGGAGAGATACACAATACAAATTAATGGAATGGTCTTCAAACATCTCTATTAACTAATTCTGTTAAATACATGAAAATTTATTATTCATCTCAAAAAATCAATTATTCCCAGTTAATGCTAAAATGAGTGCTCTTCTGACAAAAACATAAAATGTGATGACCAAAGAGTACTAGAAAGTGCGAAAAATGGGTGAATACATTAACTAGTTTCAGATTTACAATTTGCCCTCAGAAAATAATTATAAATATTCAAAAAGTAATAGGTCCCAAGCCTGGTGTGGTGGCATGGACCTGTCATCCCAACTCTGGAGGAAGCATAAATAAGAGGCTCACAATCCAAATATTCAAAAAATTAATTAAAACAAAAAGGGCTGGAAACATGGCCAACGCAGAAAAGCACCTATCTAGCAAGCACAAAACCCTGAGTTCAAGCCTCAGTACTGCTGGAAACATGGCCAATGCAGAAAAGCACCTATCTAGCAAGCACAAAACTCTGAGTTCAAGCCTCAGTACTGCCAATACAAAAGCAGAAATGAAATGGACATCAACATAAAAGTCAATGAAAGTGAAAATTTAGGTACCATTTAAGTGTCCATCCAACATTAGAGGGTTTACTTAAGGAATACATATCCATATAATAAACATTATGAATCCATGAAAAATGTCATAGGGGAATATTTGGTAATAAGAAGATGTTCTGTTTTTTATAAAAGAGACATGGACAGATATGCATAGCAGTAAGTTTTTAACAATGGTTTCCTTACAGGGAAAAGTTATTTCCTTCTTTTCAAAAAAGTCATACATATTTTGTAGTAACAGAAAGTATCTATTACAAAAAAATATATTCAAGATTAATTTGTCCAGGTTCTGGTGGCTCACACCTGTAATCCTAGCTACTCAGGAGGGTGAGATCTGAGGATTGCAGTTCAAAGCCAGCCCAGGCAGGAAAGTCCACCAGGCTCTTATCTCCAATAAACTACTCAGAAAAAGCCAGAAGTGTCTCTGTGATTCAAGTAATAGAGCACTAGCCTTGAGCACAAAGAAGCTCAGGGACTGTGCTCAGGCCCTGAGTTCAAGCCATAGACCAGCCAAAAAAAAAAAAAAAAAGGTTAATTTGGAATTTTAGTTTTTTAGTTTCGAAGCTTGTAGATAGATATCAAGCAAAAGATTTCAGAGAGAAGTCATACATCCCAGTAAATTAAATAATCTGTCCTCTTGCAAGCTATTGGCTGTAACGAGGTAGGTAGACTGCTACCAGGATCAGATGAAACTCCCTAGCAACCAAAGATGCTAAAGCCAACTTGCCTTTATTAACTCTCAGAAATTCCTATATCCCTTAATCCTTGCAAGGATAGAGGAAACACACACACACACACACACACATACACACACAAAATATTAAGAAATGGGTAACTAAATCTCAAGTTTCAGATGCCCATTGTGCTCCCTTGCCAACTGCTGTGGGACCTACTTTCTCCATGAGGCAATGTACATTTCTATCTGGACTGGTACTGTCATCTAGATTCCCTATACATATGAATCCTGGTCTGACTAATTAATCTATAAACTTCCAGAACACAAGGCATTTGTCCTACAGTTCTTAGCAGGATCTTCAAAATATCTCTTTATTAATTTCCTAATATCCTTCATTAATTTCCATACCCTATGAACCAAGTCCAAGTTTATAAACTGTAATGGTTTATATAAAGAAGGAAAAGAAAAACTGCTAACTTAAATCTGATCAATTCAATCAAGAAAAATGAGAATTTTATTTAGTAAACAGTAATCACAAAAACAGAAAAAAGAGAAAAGAGAGTACTTCTGGACAAATTTCCTGGAAGACTGCCTTACTTGATCTACCTACAGGCTCACACCTATAATCCTAAACTACTCAGGAAACAAGAGATCAGGAAGGTCATGGTTTAAGGCTAGTCTAGGCAAAAAGTTTATGAATCACCAGAGCTCAACAGAAAAAAAGGCTAGGTGTATTGGCACATGCTGGTCATCTCAGATACTGTAGGAAGCATAAATACGAAAGATGGCTCCAGGCAAAAAATAAGACTCTAACTTAAAAATAACCAGGGCAAAAAGGGACAGAGGCATGGCTCAATGAGTAGAGGGCCTGCCTAACAAGCATGAAGTACTGAGTTAAAACACTAGCACCCCTAAATAAATAAATAGAAATAAAGTATGGAGCCTCAAGTGTGAAACTTTTTGAACTACACTTCTAACTCCCTAGCACTGGCATTCCCCTTAACTTTTTCTTTCAAATCTATAGAGTGCTAAAAGTCTGTTCCATCACAGTGACCAACCCCTGCTGTCACGGAATTTCAGCACATACCACGTGCTTTTCTGTGGTTAACTTTTAGGTCAACTTCCTGCTTTCTGCATTTGACAAACCTAGTTCCTCAAAAATAAAAATGCTTAACTACTCTCAGCTTGAATACTTAATTTTTAAGGCAAAGGAAGGAATAGTAACGCCTAAGTAAATATCTTTTCATAGCCCAACTTAATATTTAAAGATTTCTAGATCAAAAAGCAGTTGAATTTTCTGTCTTAGCTATATCTGCAGAAAAGGTTTCTCAATAGGAAGTAAGAGATCATTATCAAAAAAAAAAAAAAAAAGCCACACCTGTCTCTTCCTCCTAGTTTCTAAAAGGGCTTGCTGACAAATAAAAAAGTAAATCTATGAAAGCCAAGCTTCAAAACATTTAAATATTTCCTCTTATTTTTTCTGAAAAGAATATGCATAATAATTCCATCAATCTCCCCTTTCTGCAAAATATCTAAGTAAATAAATCTCTAGGTGTCCAATTCTAAATAATCACAGAAAGTCAAAACCACATTCTCTCCCAAGGAACCCTCCATACTCTTTACCTGTCACATTGTTGCATGATAGAGATTTCTTTGATTATCTCCTGCAGGTCTGATTCCACTGGAACTTGTTTAATAGCAACAATCTGACCCGTCTCTTTATGAATAGCTTTGTATACACTGCCATAGGACCTACAATTGAGGGAATGAGAACATTCACAAAAGCAAAGCAAACCAAGAAATAAATGGTATAATGCAAGTAACTCACAGTTCTAATATATCTATATATATACATACATATTTGTAACTTATATATGAATATTGTGAAATAACTATAATTTTACTGGATCCTTAATATCTGCTAGAAACTGTACATTATCTCAGTTTATGACTATGGAAATAAAGCAAACAGTAATCATTTCTATTTGACAAGTAAATGTAAAAAAAGTACAGACAGGTTACATGATCTGCCTAAGGTCACATAAGTAATTAACAAATGGTTCAATATTTGAACCCAGGGAAATGAATACAACACTTGTTTCCTCTCCACACTTAGAATACAATATGGAAGTTTGTCTTCTTACATTCACTCAAGTACCCCATGGTTTATCTCTCCTTGTTCCTCTTATGTGCAATAATGATTAAACATTATGGAAAACTCAGATCTAAGCCTCTGTAGTGCCATTATCAGATGAACAGTATATATATATAAACATTTTGCCTTTTATTCCACCTTTCCTAAAAACCTGACATCAAAACAAATTAAGTTTCTACACCTATTTAATTTGGGAGCTACAAGAAACTTAGATTTAATATATAAAGACCTAGAATTAAATCCTACAATCAGGACATATTAGCTATCATTTTTAAATGATATTTACTTTTTTGTGCCTCAATTTTTTCATCTGTAAAATGACAAAAGTACAATTATAAGACAGTTACAAGCCAGTCACCGGTGGCTCATGCCTGTAATCCTAGCTACTCAGGAGGCTGAGATCTGAGGATTGTGGTTCAAAGCCAACCCGGGCAGGAAAGTCCATAAGACTCTAATCTCCAATTAACCACCACAAAGCTGGAAATGGAAGTATGGCTTAAGTGACAGAATGCTAGCTTTGAACAAAAAATAATAAACTTAGGGGCAGCACTAAGGCCCTGAGTTAAAGCCTAAGGAATGATGCCAAAAAAATAAAACAATGAAAAACAGAACTATGCAGAGCACATAAATACACCGGAATCCCCTATTTCACAAACTAGTAATAACAATGTTTAAATTTGATATCAAATACTTTTTTTTTTAACCACAGAAAGGCATATGTGAAGACCTAACCACTGTCTTTTCTTCTTTGCTAAAGTAACTCTGAGTTAGTTGAGATGGCCAATCACTTGGTCCCAGGGTATAAATCATGGTAGACTAAACGCCAGTGCCAGCCTGCTATTTCTCTTTGCCACTATTTCTCTTTGCCACAGCCTGAACTAGCAAGCATTTGACCCAGTTCTAACTAACCAGTGATATTTGACTGGACATCTGCTGACAGGTTTCGGGGAAAGATTTTCTTCCCAGATTGAGACAAGGACCATTTTCCCCTGCCCCTTCCTTCCTTGTATTGGCTACTGTCAGGTGAGGGATGATGCTTGAGACTATGAGAACTGCCCATACCCAACCACTACTGAGTTCATCACCTAGTTCTGGACTCTCTTACCCTGAAATGGATCATTTGGTCATTAAATGCCTTTACAAGTTAGTCACTGTTAGTTGGATATTCTGTTATTCCCATCGAAAGGTACTCTTGATACACATGTGCACCCAAAATTGTCTTTATTTCAGCTTTACTCTGGAACTGCATTTTTTTTTTCCTGGAGAATTCTACTTCAACCACAGCTTTCTCTTAGCACTTTGATTTGCATATCTATTTACTGAGAAGGACACTCACTGGATTACCATTCTTCATTGGTAATCTCTCTAATGTCTTCTTCATCCTTAAGTTTCTATATTTTTTTCTGTAATTAGGATTTATTTTGCACTTCCTATGTGTCTTCAAGCTCATGTAGTTCAAGTATGGAAATTTCTCAACATTCCCTACTTCATATCTTTTAATACCTTCTAGAATTTTTATCAAACTTACCTTGTCCTCCTAGCTTCTAACACTGAAACTCCAATTATCACAGTTTTCATCATCAAGATTCCCAAATTTTAATTTTTTCACTGGGCCAAATTTTTATGTTAATAATCTGGGGTTCTTCCGAAGTTACTATTTCCTTGTTTTAGCTTTTGAACATCAAAAACAAACATTGTTTATGTGATTTCTATGGCAATGTCAAAATCCCTGACATAAACAACTGAAAGGAAGGAGTTATTTTTTTTTTTCCACTTCACAGTTTCAGAAGTTTAGGTCTTGATTTGCTTCTCATGCTTTTGGCTAAGATCAAGTGGAGTACCAGTCCTTGCTCATTTGGCTCCACTTCTATTAGGTCCATGGGTGGTTAAGACAGAATAAAATGGCAGAGAGCATGTGGTGGAACAAAGTAGCTCATTTCATGATGGGAGGAAAAGAGAAAAGATGGGGCCCAGGACATGATATATTTTCCCCTCCTTATAACTTAACTTCCTCCAACTAGACCCTACTTCTTAATAACCATTGCTTCCCAATAATGAATCCATCAGTGTATTAACCCAGACTAGTCACAGCCCACAGGCTTCAAACACTTCCCAACAAATCCTTCAGTTGACAGCCAAGCCTTTAACAAATGAGCCTTCAGGAAACATTTCAAATTAAGACCCACAAACATATTAAATCTCTTTATTTCTATTTTTAAAACATGTAGCTTATTAAATCTTTTCTCTCATTAGTTCTATTTCCTTGGGTATGAATTCTCCCGTTTTTTTTTTTAGGTCTGCTAATTATCTAATAGCAGTACACAGCTAATAGCAGTTCACAGCTTTGTACGGATTTTCTTTTATCCTAAATGATTTTCCTCCACACTACACTAAGATGTCCTCTGTGGTCCACAACTTAAACCAAGTGTCACTATGGGATTCTGAGGATCTTAACATTCAAATTACCATACCTAAATGCAGTGCATTCAAATTGCCATACTTACAGTCAGATCAGTACCTCCACCTTTTCCTCAGGCTACAAGCAAATGACATATTCTATAGGAGGAGTCAGGCAAATTTATTTCAGCTTTAATTCAGATAGAGAACCTAACAACTGCTCACAAGTTCACTTAGGAAGCCCAAATGCAATCTCCAGACAAGGACAGGGAATTCAAGTCCTTCTCTTATTATGACAAATACTTCCTTATCCTTGATGAATAGATCCTTTAAAAGAAAAGATCTATTTATATAAAGTATGTACGTAAATATTTTTATAATAGGGATTTCACTATGTATTAGAAATGGAAGAGATGTTGAAAAATATTCTCTCAGCAATCAAGACCAGAACAATCTTCATACTTCCCTAAGCCAGTTTGTTAGCAAACACAACTACAAAAGCTTACACGTGCTCTGTACGCTATTTTTTTTTCTTTTTTCTTTTTTTGCCGGTCATGAGGCTTGAACTCTGGGCTTGGGTGCTGTCCCTGTGCTCTTCAGCTCAAGGTGAGCACTCTACTGCTTGAGCCACCACGCCACTTCCAGTTTTCTAGTGGTTTTATTGGAGATAAGAGTCTCACAGCCTTTGCTGCCCAGGCTGGCTTTGAACTGCAATCCTCAGATCTCAGCCTCCTGATAGCTAGGATTACAGGCGTGAGCCACAAGCGCCCGGCTCTGTACACTATTTTTATAATAAAAAACATTTTTTAAAAAAAGCCTACAGGAAGGCCCCTTAAGGCCTGTTTCCCTACAATAAAAACTAAAAACAACTCAATGAATTTTAATGGCAAAAAACAAACATAAAGTAGACATTTCTCTTTGTAGAGAAATGGGAATTATGCATTACTTGAGGTCAACCTAAACAATATCACTCATAAGATATAAAACCATGAGCACAATGCTTTTTTTTATTATCCTATGATTAAAAGTCAGTATGTAAAACTTTAAGTGTAACAGAAGTAAAAGGAAGCAAGCTTCTAACTTAAGACGCTCTCCAAGTGCTCTCCACTCATTCTTGGTTTCAAGCTGTGACTCTACTACAGATCCACAGGATTTCCTCACAACAATCTCTAACTGCAGCCTCCAGAATCCAGTATAGTTCTTTAGCAAGAGCTCATTTCACAAGATACCAGTCATAGAGTTCACAATCCAATCATTCAACACAAACATTTAAGGACAATGTGGCATTTTGAATTTAAGAAGGAAATGCAGTTAAGGTCTTCCTGCAGGATCTTTTTAGTTCCAAGAAATGTGCTCAGATTCATTAAATCAGGGTAACAGAAACCCAAGTATCTGTCATAGCATTTAAAGGTGCAATGAATAGTATGAGAAAGATTTGAAGCTTTATTTTTTTTCTCTCCCTGATGAAGTCATTATGGGAAAATCTCCAAGTTCTTTGCTGTAGCCATCCATAGAACTAAAACACAACTTAAAAAAAAAGAAACCATCTGTCGGGTGCCGATGGCTCATGCCTATAATCCTAGCTTCTCAGGAGGCTAAGATCTGAGGATCATGGTTCAAAGCCAGCTGAGCAGGAAAGTTTGTGAGACTCTTATCTCCAATAAACCACCAGAAAACCAGAAGCGACGCTGTGGCTCAACTGGTAGAAAACTTGCCTTGAGCTAAATTGCTCAGGACAGTGCTCAGGCCTAGGGTTCAAGCCCAAGACCAACAACAAAAAAAAACAAACATGAAAGAAAGGAAGAATTTCACTGGCTTAGTTTGCTTTATCTTTTACATTATATTCCGGCATATTCTGTCTATAGTTTCTTTTGACACTCTCCAAACCCAATAAACTCAAACACAGTAACCTATAAGAACATTTAAACATACTTTAAGACTTAAGCTTTAACTTAGATTTGATGTGATGAGGTCTAAAAAAATTCTTTAGTTGAAACACTCAAAAATAAAATAAGCTGGGTACACCTATAATTCTAGTTACTCATCAGGTTGAGATCTGAGTGTGGTGGTTCAAAGCCAGCCCACAGCAGGGGGTGGGGGAATCTATAAGGCTCTCATCTCTTTTTAACCAACAAAAACCTGGAACTGGAGGTGTGGTTCAAGTGGTAAAGCACCAGTTGTGAGAAATAAAAAGCCCAGTAAGAGCAAAAGGTGCAGAGTTCAAGCACCAGTACTGGCACTAAATAAATAAGTAAACATAAATAATGCTGGGTGCCAGTGGCTCACTCCTGTACTCCTAGCTACCCAGGAGGTCTGAGGATTCCTGTTCAAAGCCAGCCCAATCAGGAAAGTCCATAAGAGTCTTATCTCCACCAAAAAGCTGGAAGAGGAGCCATAGTTCAAGTTTAGAGCAAAAAAGCTGAGAGACAGTATCCAGGCTCCAAGTTTAAGCCCCAGTACAGGAAAGAAAGAAAGAAAGAAAGAAAGAAAGAAAGAAAGAAAGAAAGAAAGAAAGAAAGAAAGAAAGAAAGAAAGAAAGAAAGAAAGAAAGAAAGAA